GAATTGTTTATTTCTTTTTAATTTTTTGTGCTTATTAGTTCTATGTGTAAGTTTTAGGTAATAGATAATGGTTATTTGTACTTTTATCCATGTAGGTTGGAAATTTTAATATTTAAAAAAGTAATTATTTAAATTTTAAATAACTTTTTATTTGCTATTAGTTTTTTTAATATAATATATAAATATTATATTACAATATAAAATAATAATTATTTTTGTATTTAATATTAATACGTAAAAGGTTGTAATTGAATTGAGAAATTAATAGGTAATCTTGCTTTAAAATAACGAGTGATTTCCATAATGTTATATGGACTAAAAAATTCATGTGCTTAATATATTTTTAATAAAAGAAATTGTAAACGCAATTAATTAATAGAAAAACTATAACATAAAAATTTTAATGTTTAAAAAGAAATGCAAAAAATAAAATGCTATATTGCAATGAAAAATCGAACGATAAGGTGTTCCACTAAAAATTCTAAAGGACATTTCATTTGCATAGCTTTCATTGGAAAATATCACTGGCTATTCCAACATAGATCAAATTAAATTATAATGGAATTTTAGTGGATTTAATTATTCGAATTACCATTATTTATTTTCTTGTGTGAATTCATTTGATTTTTCTTTCGGAACATATTTCTACGTTGGAAATTTTTTTTATTGGAATTGTAAAAAATTCAATGAAAGTTGCATTGGAAAGCTAATTGTAGTGTTAGATACAGACAATTTCATATTGGAGACACTATTTAGCTAATAGAAAAAATATATCATCAAAATAACATAATGTCATTACAATATATAAATTATACTTTTCATAATTTGTCATCTTTCTCATTTGTAATACATGTTTAGCAAATCTATACAGTTACAAAGTTAAAAGTATTTAAAAAAAACATAATTTTTCTCAAACTAAAATTAAGCAAATCATTGAAAATAATATATATTTTAAAATCTGATGAACAAAAAATCTATGTTATAGTATAGATGACTCGACACTATTATTGATTAATTTATAAGTTATGACTAATTGATTATAATATTAGTGAGAAAATTGTAATTGTATATAATATAATATTAAGATATACAACTTAAAAGTATCTTATAAAATAAATTATAGATCCATGTTAACTCAATTTTATTAATTAATAAATAAGATTAGATAAACTTGTAGTATATTTTTCTTACATAGATTTGAAATATTCATACTAAGAAAAAAGTGCAAATAGATGTAAACGTACAACGATTACCAACCTTAATTATGTGAATTAAAAGAAAAAATAAATGAGTTGTATGTTAAACTGTAGCAGTTGTAAAATATATTTTTTGTGAATATGATAATGAGTTGGTTACTTAATATTTTATCAAACATGGAAAAAAAATTCAAACTTTTTAATCTTACAAACAATATAAAAGTACATTTTTATCAAATATATTATTACACGTAAAAAAAAAATGCATATAAATGTGCTCTAATTCTTTCAATAAATAAAATATTATTTGTGAATAAAATAAAAAACAAATAAAGCAACTGTAATGCAATAGAAAAAAAGAAAAAGTCTGAATTTTTTTAGAAAAGTATGGATACAAATATAAAGAAACAAAAATATTTTAAAATTGCTAATTTTTTGTTGCTAACATTTAAATATATATTATCTATAAGAAATTGGTTCTCATAAATAATGATTCCATATTATCATATTATAGAAGATTAACTTCAATAATGACTTCTAATAATAAAGTTCACAGTGACTAAGAGTATTAGAGTATTATAGAATTCAAATTCTTCTCATCTCAAATATTTTGACAATGATATGTTTCTCGATATTTGTCTCATTATCTGTTTTGTTTTGTTATTATTGAAGAATCAAGAAATGATATTTATCTTGAATTTTCGAAGCATTATGTATGGTGCAAAAAGTTGGACAATAAATGCATTAAATAAGCATAAATATCGCAAATCCGAACAAATGAAAAAGATATTATGATAAACAACTCTAAAATCATTGCAACAACCAAACTGTACAATGATTTTAATATAATAGGTGATGTAGTTCTCTATTTTCTAAATAAATAACACTGAAAATGAAATGTCTGATTCTGATCAAAATATTTTTGAACGTTCGAATAAGTTGTCAATTTTTTATAGGAATGTTTACAATCTTAATTGTGTATTGTGCTCGGTCATAACCACAATTACTTTAGAGTACATACTTTCATATAATTATGTGATGATTTCAAAAATTAATTTAGCGTCTCTGAATAAGTACATGATTTTGAAAAGTCAACTTTTGTTTAGGGATGAAATTCATCCCCACCTCATGAGGTAGATACCAATTTGTCTATATGGAGAGAGAGAGAGAGAGAGAGAGTAATGTAGCAGTTTATACAATGACTAAAAAAATATCAAGAATTTTAATGACACAGTTGGTTATTTCACAGAGATATTTATGAACATTTAGTAAAAATATCTTATAATAATCATATAATCATGATGTTTGACTATATGTTTGGCTAAAATATTTCTAAGTGTTGAATAAAACAGACGTTTTGCTAAATTAACTAAGAAAAAATTTTGCAATGCTATTGATGTGTTGAGCTCCAACGAGAGTATGAATGTTTGTTATGAGAATGTCAAGACTAAAATGAAAGAAAATCACTCTTGAATCGAACATAAATAAATAAAAGAACTCATGCAGCTGTAATATACATTAGATCCTTCCTTAGTTATTTAGTGTTTTTTTTTTATTAGGGACTCATTTTTCATATTTTTTTGTTGGAATTGTAATATGTTATTTAAATCTTTTTATATTACGACATCATTATGTTAGTTTAAAATAAAAAAATTATATTAAGAGTTTACTTGTTCTACATTTTATTTTGTTCCTGCAATGCAATCTTATGTTTAATAATTTATCTTACTAAACTTAATCGGAAAAAATCATTCGTCACCACGTGCATCGCACGTTCACTTTACTAGTTTATAAAATTTCAGGGTAAGACTAAAGCAATTGTAGTGTGTTGGTTTCTTGGACTTGGAGCACTTGTCGCATGGAATAGTATGCTGACTATTGGAGATTACTATTACCAATTGTTCCCGGTACGCATATCTTTCAACATCATCAAAGATTTTTTTTTTTTTTTTTTTTTTTCGTCCTCAAAATGATGCTGCATATTTTTAGAGGTCTGCATGACACGGACTTTAACGTGTTGTGTGTTTAAACCTTACAGCCTTGATTTTGAATTCCTTCCATTCTTGTGCAGGAAACAGATTTTCACGCTTTTTATAATGGATTTTATGTTCGGAAATATCAATGGAGGATCTTCTCAAATTAACCAGGACATCGTTAGGTGCCCATTTTTGAGGAATATCAATCAACCAACTAACTTTTCATTCTTAACATCAATGGCTGTCCCCATGCCTGTAGGTTTTCGCACCTCCTCTTTTCCTATCTCTGTTTCTACTCATGAACTGTGACCTTTATTGTGTATTTAAGTTATCCATTATGAAAAAAAAAAAAATGAATGAANGATGCATTGACGCAGGGTGGGCTAATCGGCGATCTTGCTTTTATGTGTCCTGAATTCTTGCAGGTATACAAATATAATTATATAAATCAATTTCTAATTTGCAAAAGAAATTAGTTTGCTTTAAATTTTGTTGTTCGTTCTTGTTGGATTTTTCAGTCGTTTTTTGCTGGTTTGGCGGCATCGGGAGCTTTAACTTCTGGCTTGAGGCTAATCACTAAGGCAGCTTTTGATAAAACCGAAAATGGTCTTCGTAAGGGAGTCAGTAAGTCACTGTCTTACTCTAAAATGTAATCTTTATCTCATGTAGCTTTCACGAGTACTTCATAATATTAATTGCTTGATTTTATTTTTTTTTTCAATTCATCTAATATATATTTGCTTTTTTCTGTTTTTGTCGATTATGCAGTTCTGTTTCTTGCCATCTCGACATTTTTTGAATTTATATGTATTTTCCTCTACGCATTTGTGTTTGGAAATCTACCGATCGTGAAGCACTTCCGGAAAAAAGCAGCCTTGGAAGGGTCCAAAACGGTCTCGGCTGATCTTGCAGCTGCGGGTATCCATACCTCAGATGGCAAAACTGTAAAAAATCAGCTTTTAAAACCCACATATCTTTGATTTGTTTTTTAACTTTTATTTTTCTTTTTTTTATGGATTCCATAGTTCTAAAAGATAATTTCTATACCACCTCAGATAGATGATCATAAACAGGCCCGATTAGGCAACAAGGAGCTGCTACTTCAGAACATTGATTATGCATTGGACCTTTACTTGATATTTGTACTCACACTCTCGATTTTCCCTGGGTTCTTATACGAAAACACGGGCAACCACCAATTGGGATCTTGGTAAAATTGATCATAAGTTAATTGACAAGCACAATAACACGAGCATTAGTTGTTCTTGCTACGCTCTTTTGGCTTTTCTTGCTATTTAATCACCAAAAAAAAAAAGTATTCTTTTTCATAATATTAAAGGCCTCACAAAGTATAATTTTGATGAATGCAATGCATAATGACTCGGTTCTTTTTACAATTCGTAAATCATGTTTTTTTCCATGTTTACAGGTATGCGGTGGTTCTCATAGCAATGTTCAACTTGTGGGACCTCATTGCACGATACATTCCCCTTATCGATTGCCTAAAGCTCAAATCCAGAAAGGGCCTCATGTTCGCGTGCCTGTCTCGATTATTGCTCATCCCATGTTTTTACTTCACGGCAAAATATGGAGACCAAGGATGGATGATATTTTTGGTGTCTTTTCTGGGGCTCACAAACGGGTATTTAGCGGTCTGTGTGATGACCGTGGCTCCCAAAGGGTACAAGGTTAGTCGAAAATATCAGAAAAAGAAAAAAAAAAACAAGAAAATCACAAAAAGATACGATTTTATTATCTGATGATCATTTTTTGCGTTTAATTTGTTGTGGATGGGGATTTGGTGCTTTTGTAGGCACCCGAGCAAAATGCGTTGGGCAATTTGTTAGTAGTTTTTCTACTTGCCGGGATATCTTCAGGTGTGGCGCTCGACTGGCTTTGGATCATTGGCAGTGGTTCACACTAGGGTTGTTTATTATTGTAAATAGTTTAGGTTAATAATAATTCTTCAGGTGTATAGGATTTTCCGAGTCCCTAAACATGCAATGCAACTATGCAGTCTATGCCTTAAAAAAGAATTTGTGTAAACAAAGAATTTGCATATATTCATACTAATGCATAAAATCTGTTTCCAAATCATAAACGTGTGATCCTTAAAAAAACCAACAAATTAATGTAGTAGTATCAAGTAAAAACCTCTAGCTAGATTTTAAAAAATTATTCTAAAACGATAAAGAAAAACCTGAACAAAACCGTGTGACCAATTTATACCTCAACCATTCATCATTACATAAGGAGAGAAATTTATTTACT